ATCCAAATATGTAAACAAAAATGCAGTGTGAGCGTATTTTGAGCAAAAATATTACGAAAAAGAGGAAAAATAGTCAAAAATCGGCCACAATCCTTCACTGTGTCGCCTCTGCATTCCAAACGAAATCTTGAACCAATGTGACACTTACATGCTAGACGCAGTTTTTCACGCTGTATTCACTGGAAAATAAAAATCGAAAAAGGTGTGGAACGTTCTTGGAAACACTAATTATTCGCCGATTTTTGACTATTTTTCCACTTTTCCGTAATATTTTTGCTCAAAATACGCTCACACTGCATTTTTGTTTACATATTTGGATAGAGCAACTATTTTCACCAATAACTGTTTAGTTTCAAGTTTTTGAATGACTCTTTCTTGGTGAAAACCTGCAAACTATCAACTGGACTGATCTTGACCAACCTTCAGTTTTTAACATTCAACTCCACGAAATGTTTACTTTTTCTAACTTTAGATCCCATATTCGTGTTCAGCACAAAATTCTGAGTCAGAAAAGGTGTGTTTCGAAAATTTTAAGGGGAAACATTTTTTCGATGTTCCAAAGGGGAACCTTTGCCCTTAAATTCTTCGATAAAAATCAAAATGCGATTTTTAGAAAAGTGAGACGGCTAAAATGCTCAGAATTTTACGCTGATTCCGAATATGTAAGTTTCATTGAGTTTTATTTCGTTGCTCGATACTAGCTGATCCTCCCCCGTCCTTTATCCTTCTTTGCGATCAACTTCAGTTGAAATTTTGATTGTTAGAGAATATAAAAGTTTCATTTTAAAACTATGTTGGTCGAAGCTGTTGACCAGAGTTGGACAAGTCACAAGCCAAGTTGAGGTGGGAAAAAGTTTTCTCCCAAAGTTAAATTAAGTCTGGTTAAAGGATAGGCAGAACATCAAATCAGCGCCTTTTGGGTGAGAGACAGTTTTCATAGTTTCAGAAACTCCGTTTCATGGTAAAAAATGTCTAATTTAAACGAAAATTTCTTGCTGGAAATGATTTGATTTGAAAATTTTTTTAAGTCCAGTCATGGTCACGAAAAGATCTCTCAAGACAAGCCATACTGGAAAAAGTTTTCGACCAAGTCAAGTCAGTGGACTTGAGGAATTTCTGGCTTGACTTGCCTAGCTCTGCTATTGATCCTATGGCTCATTGTTTTACAGTCTATTTTTCTTTATCGCTCTCTATCATACTTTCTACATAGCTTGATCCCACGACTTTTGCCGAGATTACTCTTTAAATGTTTTATTGTCATATTATTATTTATTAATAAAACGTTCTTGAAAACTTTATTACGAAACTTCAATAGCGGTTTGCAAAGATAAAAAAATAGTGACCAATAAACAATCGATATTGCATCGTCTGTTTATTCACTATCACAGAAACGGTTATAGCAACAACGTGGCTCATTATTGATCTTAATAATCATCAGTCATCCATTCTTTTAATTAATATATAAGATTTCTTTGACGAAGACAGTTTTATTTTACTGAACAACTATAAACTCCTGAAAAGCCCGTTCAAAACGTTCGGGTCGTAGAAGCTCAGATAAATCAATAGTATAAGTTAGACTATAACAGCGATAGCGAACGCAGAAAAGTATGTCAAGAACAGTGATTAAATCAAGAAGGAAAAGGCGGCTCCGGGAGCTTTCCAAAGCCTTTGAAATGCTTTCCGCGTGAAGCATAGGAACTATAGCAACTATAGAACTATTCGTAATATCAAAACTATAGGATTAGGAGTCTTACCAACACTGGAAACAGATGAATGCTGAATATGTGAACTTCTTTACCGCACTCACTCTCAACACCCCCTCTCCCCCTGTCGCAACCAGTGGAGGGAGCATCTGAACCTTAAAGCCTATTAAACTCTTGACCTTTGCAAAGGAAATTCGAGATTGTTTCTGGCCTTGCTAGTTAACAGATATAAGATGAGAGAGAGAGAGTTTCGAGCTGATCACGAATGTATGTGCCTCTAATATATTGGAGGCTTTTTTCCGGTCGGAAAATTAAAAACTTTAGGGGAGTAAAACACCGAAAAAAAACAAAGTTTCCAAAAAACGGCCGTGGTGTTTTCGCTTTTTCGCCTCAGTGCTTAAAACAAACTTTTTCGGATTCAACTAGAAAAACTCGTCAAAAGTTTACTCGGTTTCAGGTACCGTCAAAAATCCATTTACGGTCTGGCGCTTTGAAAGTTGCGTCTCTAGACTCAATTTTTCTAGTGGAATCTGAAAAACTTTGTTTCAAGCATTGAAACGAAAAAATGAACACACCACGGCCATTTTTCAGAAACTGCTTTTTTTCGGTGTTTTACTCCCCTCAAGTTTTCGATTTTCGATTAGAAAAAAGCCTTCAAAACATTCGAGGCGCGTACATTCGTGATCAGCTTAAAATTCTCTATTCAACAGTGTATAAAACATCGAAAAATTCATTCTACTTACTGAAGGCTTCCATTCTACCCACCTTATAAGCCATCAAATTCAAGAGTTTTCGATTTGCGTACGATTAGCATGTCCCCAACAGAATCTGGAGATGTTTGAAATTTTCAACAATTTCAAATTTTCCTACAGTTTCTGATGTTTGTAAGTTCCTTTGGTTTTGATTTTACAAACAGTTCGTATAGTTCTTGTTTTTTCGAAAAATAGGGTACCGACTGTTAAAATTTCTGTAAGTCTGATATAGCAACGTGCCGATAGTCAAAAAACGTGGATTTATAGATTATTTTGAAATGGAGAATCGAATGTGGTGAGGGAAAATTCTATTTTTTGAGAATGTTATCGATTTGCTCGATAATATCCCGGGCTGTCCTTCATACATTGCTACATAGTTTTAGAATTGTTAGATATAAGATGGAACACGCTCAGCTCTCTGGGGCATAAAATGAGCTTCAAAACGATTAAATAAACGACGTTTTTTCCCAGCACAAACACTATAAGTCCAGACTAAAAAAGAAATTTTCTGAAAAATGCATCGAGCAAGTCATTTCTGTAGAACGTTCTTGTCAAACACTAGCGCGTTAATTTTGAGTTGGGATGCTATGAATTTAGGTTCGTGTTCGGGAAAGTACTCGTTAAAGCGGTCCAAACAACCTTTGGTATTCTTCAGTGTCCATTTAAATGTTGATAACAGAGATTTACGTGGTAGAATCACATTTACTAAATGAATTGTATATGACAAACGTCCATTATTTGCCTCTTTATTAACACTTTTCACCTCAAATAATGTCCAAGGTAATATTAAAATTTCACCTTCGTCTTCGTATTCCGATAAACACGGTGATTTATCGGATATCCTATTCAAGTTAATAGCCTGATCACATTTTCTTGGAAAATCAAATATAAAGAGAACCCGATTTCGAGTATCGTTTGGTTTCGATGGTTTATCAGCAAATTCTTCAGCAATGGAGCGATGTACTGACGTGGAAGAAAAATTACTGGTCTGTAAAAGACTGCCACGATTATCAACGGCCCATTCGTATGCAGAAATATCATCATTCGTCATTTTCGCACCACGATACGATTCCCCCTGAAAATATCGCTCTTTTAATCTTTGTAGTTTCATATAAAGTGGCAGAGCCAGTGGAATCGAATTAGCTTTTAAGGCTCCATAAAATCTTGTCTCAAGCGTATATAAATGTATCAGATATTCGATACGATGATCATTATCTTTTTCATTTAAAAACTTATTTAGAAGATCAGTTGCTTTTTGTGATTGAGGATCTTCTTTAGCGATAATTTCTTTGTCGATTATTTCTTGAAGTTTAAGACCAATACTTTTTACTGACATCGGGGCATCGTGCTGAAATCTATCTACTACAAATCGCGCTAATTTTGATTGACACATAGTTATAGACGTTGTGGCATAGCCAATTTCGAGTTTTTTTTCTTCTTTGGTTTTATAACCTTGAACAGGTGGCTTTCTTACTGTCGACACTGAATCACTTGCAGAAGTGGCAGCAGGAGTTGCAGTGGCAGGAGTAGCAGCAGTAGTAGTCATATCTTCTTCATTGGGATGATGTACGAAATCGAAAGAATTGTCGACACTTTCATCTTGGAAACGTTGAGAACCTTCACGACCTGGACGTTTAAACAATTGACGGATTTCATCATTAGCTGCCTCTTCGTAAGCTGTTAAACCGTGGCTATTGATCTGCGATCGACCGCAGTTATGTGCAATAAGCAACTGAACTATCTCCTCATGGCCATAATAGCAAGCGGCATGTAACGGTGTACTACCATTCGATTCTAAACAATTCAAATCACATTCTGCTTCTTCCAACATTTGTTTAACAAATTCCACATCCCCATTTCTGCAGGCGAAATAGAAATCGCTGATCGGTGGTTTATCTCTAGCCATAATGACTACTTTATCCAAATTTTTGCTTTACCTTGCAAAATAGATGTTTTTATTACATAAACGCTTATGGCGCAATGTGTGTAATATACTGAAAAGATAGGAGGAGGATAAGTCGTGATATTGTAACATATTGTCATTATTTTTGTTCGCTTAAGCGATCATACATTAATCACTATATTTCTTACTTTGACTCACATAGAATGTTTTTATCGGTAAAAGGAATGTTCTTTCAAGTGTGTAGTCTATTTCACCGTTAAATATCTGCAATTTCCTTCAGAAAAGTAATTTCAAACTCATTGAACAAGATTATTCATCCGCTATGCATATTTTCAACTCATTTTATGTTATCGGGTCCTCATCGAAGGAGTATGAAAGTGTTTAGAAAAATTTTCTGAAAACGTTAAAAAGCTGACTTTTCGAAAATATTCTACTTTTCGATCAGAAAACAGACGTCAAATTCTATAGGACCATAAAATAGAGCAAACATGTCTGATCAAAATGGGATATCTCCCAGCTCTGGATGATGTTCTGATCAAGAGTTATGAGAGTTTTGCTGGAAGCCCTAAAACTTGCATCAGATTCTGGCGCCATTAACTCCCGAAAGTGACTTTCACTTTAACACCATTTCGTAGCTGCAAGATTTCTTGGTAACGAAACATCGCAGAGAGCTTGCGAAGGTCTTAAGTTGAAGCTGGCACATGTGGCTAGAGGACAACAGAGCCCGATTTTTGATATTCATTCGATCTAGATTTGTGGTTAGAAAAATATCTTTCTGCAAGTTAATGAGACTTTTGACGCTGACCATTAATTTGAAAAGTAAAATATCAGAAATCCGACTCTATTAACCCCGAGCCACATGTGTTTTTGTTAGCTTAAGACCAGTCAGAGCTGTTCACAACATTTCGTTACTGGGAAATCCTGCAGCTGCGAATAGCCCATAGATGTTGTGGCAACATCTCACAAATCACGCTTGATGGAGCCAAAAAAAAATTTCGTCAGCATACTTTCACTAGATTAGCATCTCCTAAAAGTTTGTTCAAGATCGATTATAGTTTCAGAGATAGGTTTCTGGCGAGAGGAGGGAGATTTGAGCGCTTTATGATCCTAGATATTTTATAATAAGCCGACTTTTTTGTGGAGTAAAAACGCTTGAAGAGAATCGGCATAAATCGGGTCGAAATTTATTAGGATATAACTTAGGACCATACAAACAGTGAGGTGGCAGATAGTCTGTTCTGACTGTTTTTTTCTTCTATTTCCTATAGATATTTAATAGTTAATCAATAATCATTGGCTGATTATCTATTTTTCTATTTTTGTAAGCTGATAATCTCATTTCAAGGATTTTATACCTTGAGAAATTTATCCTGAAAGAAAGGTATTTCGTTATCAATTGCTCGTGATGTAGTCAATATGCATGGTAATAGTGTATATGTGGAAAAAATAAAAGAGAAAGAAATGAAAACGATTGCGCACTTGTATTTTTAATAGAACAAAGGACGCTAAAATATCTATTATGTATTCTAAAGAAACTGTTTCTACTGAATACAAGCATAAACCGAATAGTTTGACTGACAAAAAATAAAGCGTTTTTGTTTTGAGATTTTTCATAGCTTCAGCATTTTAGTATACTACTTTAGTCATCGGGACGATTTCGTCATTGAGAGTGAAAGGTGCTCCGTGTAGCGGTCTGTCCATTTAGGATGGTCGTATTCGAAAATAGTAGGGGTCATGTGAGAAGTCCCTAAAGGGTCCATCTTCGGACCTTTAGTATTCCTAATAACGATATACATATGCACTGACATTATCAATTCCTTTTGCCAACGACTGCTCTCTTGTGTTCATTAACGTTCTTCGGTCCTCCAGCTTTCTGCTAGGCATTTATAGACAAAATGGGATGAATAGTGCGTACCTAACGCGTGTCTTTGATTGATTCAAAGTGTCGCTAGATTTTAACCGCTTTAAAAGAACTAAACTTACCAATGTAGGCAATTGACCTTGCGATATACAATTGTATTTAACACTTTGTTTTTCTATCATTTTTTTGGTAAACGTTAACAGATGACTCTATGACCGGAATATAAAGACATTTGTTAGGCAAAATATCACTTAGGTAAGTACAAAAACAAGTGGTATATGAATGCATATTTCTATATGATCAGTAGGAAGTGAGAGACAAGATGAGTGTGCACATTCAAGTACGATCAACAGAACGAAAAGATGAATGCACATTCCATCATGCGCATACGATTAATCACCAGAACGTCAAAGATATTCCATTCTATTTTGTGTATACTTTTTTGTATATGAAGAAGAGGCCTTGTTATTCATTTCATACAGTTTTTTGTTAACTTCTGTACAAGAATTCGGAACCGGTCAGGTTAATAAAATAAATACACGAAACCATTATTGTTATTATCTCACAACTGTTCAACGGTTGCAGCTATATCAAAAATTGCATAAAGCCAATATAAATCAATTTATTCAATTCAATTCATATATAATTTAATCAAAATAGAGAACAGAGCAACAAAAATTTGAATACGATAAAGGTCAATTTTTGTATGGCAGCTAATTGTAAAAGGTCCATAACTCATTCATTGTTACTTTTTGGCGTCTAAAAAGTTGGAACTATGAGTAACTTTTGAACCCTCTATTAAACGAAATTATAAGAAAGGAGTACTAATCTTCGCCCACGTTACGATCTTTTCCAACAGTTATGCAAACCATTTTTTATATACTCTATGGATGCAAATATTGCTATATCTACTCTCATTCTTTACTACATTTTATAGTATTAGCAGTGTGATGGACTTTAGCGGTGACGGTACGTGGTAATTTAATAACAATAATACTTATTCGTCTTGCTGTTGTCGGTTTAGATGTCGAGACTTCGATCGGAATAAGTGGATCACTAACAGAGCTTCTTCTGGGCGTAAAAGCTTCAGATAACTGTATATCCGATTCTTTCATATAAAGGCTGGCGTCGTTTTTGAACTGTGGAAGCAGTGATTTCATTCGTTTTACCTTGGTAACACTAATCGGACAAATGGTCTTTTTCGAATCGTTGTCACGAGTTTCGTTATTTTCACTAGTAATTTCTGGTGACTTCGTACGTTTACGCTCACATAGTAGTGCTGATTCAGCACTGCTGAAAGTACGACGGGTTGAAATTTTGACGTTTTTATTGCCAGTATGCTTTCGAGAGCAACATTTTTATCAATAGAACCTTTATCGTCATTAGATACCATCAAGGATGGTTTATGGAGCTCTTCGAGATTTATCCTTTCAATAACACTTCGTCGTGAATGCTTTCTTGTAACAGTTGTAAAACGACTCAATTTAAATGATGTACTTGCATAGACAAACATTGTCACCAGTATAGTATACTCTGATGGTACAAGACTGTTCTTGTGAATTAAGTGATAATGCGATGACGAAAACAGTCTGTACTAAACGGATGTATGGTAAATTTATGATCCGATGCGTTCTATTGGTTTCCAGGAAATTTGTTAATCTTCCATCAATATTCAGAAGCGAGCCATAATAACCATAATGGACATAATCGGTGATACAGCGATATTACCGCGAAGACTTGTTTATTGGAAAAGACGAATAAATAAAACTGGTTGTGTACTTTGTACATCATGTTTTCTAAATAAAAAATATATTTTGTAATTTTAAAAATATGTTTTGTGTGAAACTGCTTTTCGAACTCAAGCTCACGATGCCCTCGCGCTACTGTCGTTTTCTGTATTCACGGTAAGATAATTTGTCATGCAGCTTGAGCGAAAGACCAAGAAAGCTAGGAATATCTTATCACTCCCATCTACGTGAATAAGATCAGAATCAAATGACTTTCCACGAATACATACCTAGTTTCCAGCAAGTTCATATTGTTTCCAGCAACTACTTTGGTATCCTGGAAAGCCATATAGAGCATCATATGAAATTTATTGATGAATATCATCAATTGAACGGATGAATTTTGTACACGTAAAGAACTGATTGTATGCCAAACATGCCTGTTGAGTAGCTTTGATCTGTCAATGAGACAAGAATCTATAGGCTACAAAAACATCGATTAATGTTTTGAAATCTCGATTTTATCACAAATAGAAAATGGATAAAAATAGTATCAGTAGCTTTCACGGTGAAAAAAAAACCGTAAGAAAAACAGTAAAATCCATAACCATCGAAAAAAACCGTGTAGAAGAACCATGAAGTAAAAAACTACATTATGAAAACCGTAAAATGCAAAAGTATAAAAGAAAAACTATGGAAGTAAAATCGTAAAGGTTAAAACCATAGAAACAAAACCGTCCACTTTCGAACCATCGAAGAAAAACCGTAAAATAAAACTGTCAGTTTAAGAACTGTAAAATTAAAACCATGAAAAAATATCGTAAAGATTCAAACTGTAGAAATAAAATCATGAACTTTTGTTTGTCAAAGGAAAACAATGAAAATATAAGTGTGAAGAGGAAAACCGTGAAAACATTTTCATGCTTTTTAGTTGACGGTTTTGTCGTAGCTTCAAAATTCTTTAAAATATGTGTAGTTTCAGTCGTTAGCACGTAAAAAGTCCTCCTAATCAACTAACATAAATTCAAGAGAGCGAGCATTGAGCTTCTCGACAAATCTATCTCGCACTCAGGATTATTCAGTAAAGAGCATAGCCGGGTAGATAAGTGAGTAAAACTAGCACTTGAGACAGGGAGGAGGGGAAGACGTCTTCCAGTACATGTTTCTGCAGAATATGCCTGTTTTGTGAACTTTCTCATTTTACAAATTCTTTTCTTTGAAACTGGGATTATCTTGAAATTGTTCTGATGCCTATAGTCTTAGAAGGTAGAGAGAAAGCGTATATTGAATATCTTCTCCTAACCATAAGTTTCTAGACGTTCATCATAGAATACACTCGATGGTATCATATGATATATGTACACACCTATACAGTTAGCGTTTCTCTTTTATATCTCAAATACATGCACCATAGC